AGGCTGAGATCTGAGGATCGTGATTCAAAGCCAGGAAAGTCCGAGAGACTCTTATCTCCAATAAACCACTATAAAAACCGGAAGCGGCACTGTGACTCAAGCAGTAGCGCGCTGGTCTTGAGCTGAAGAGCGCAGGGACAGCGCCCAGGCCCAGAGTTCAAGCCCCACGACCGACAAAAATAAAATAAAAAACTTGCGTATGGTGTTTAGAGGTGTGGCGTAGGTGGTAGAGCACCAGGTGGTGGAGCAAATGCATCTGATAAAGAGTTTGAGTCCCACTCTCAAACAGAAAGAAAAGATATAAAAATGTACTTATGGTTCTTCCTTCCAAGTAGCTCGTTGACATTATTTTAATGACGTACTACGTGCATATATATTGGGGGGCTGTGGCCTCTAGCCCGCGTACTTTAGAGCAACAGACCAATGTGCCCGCTGCCCCCTGGTGGCGGGGACTGGTGGTGCGCCGGGAGGGAGGCCGGCCGCTACCCCCTGGTGGCGGGGACTGGTGGTGCGCCGGGAGGGAGGCCGGCCGCTGCCCCCTGGTGGCGGGGACTGGTGGTGCGCCGGGAGGGAGGCTGGCCGCTGCCCCCTGGTGGCCAGGACCGACAGTGCGCCGGGAGGGAGGCCGGCCGCTGCCCCCTGGTGGCGGGGACTGGTGGTGTGCCGGGAGGGAGGCCAGCCGCTGCCCCCTGGTGGCGGGGACTGGTGGTGCGCCGGGAGGGAGGCCAGCCGCTGCCCCCTGGTGGCCAGGACCGACAGTGCGCCGGGATGGAAGGCCACCCGTCCGTGGGCGGTGGAGCCACGGTCAGGGGTGGAGACCTCCCAGGTACAGGGCCCAGGGGGAGGAGGGCGGGCTGACAGGCCGCCCCTGTGACACGCACAGAGACCGAAAGCAAAACCTGGCCATTTAAACCCGAGTGTGCGCAGGCAGTCGGCACGGGGTGTGCCTCACGGCCGCCCTGGCAGGAAAGGCCAGACGTTCCCCCCCTCCCCCCCCACCTCCCCTCGCCCCTCCGCCACCTCCCCTCCCCCCCACTCCCCCCAACTTCCCCTCCCCCCACCCCCCCCACCCCCGCCACCTCCCCTCGCCCCTCCGCCACCTCCCCTCCCCCCCACTCCCCCCGCCACTTCCCCTCCCCCCCGCCACCTCCCCTCCCCCCCACCCCCCACCACTTCCCCTCCCCAACACCCACCCCACCCCCCACCCCCGCCACCTCCCCCCCCACACCTCCGCCCCTCCGCCCGACTCTGGCCCCTCCGCCGCTGACCCCGGCTGCTGGAGGTGGAAAATGTAACGCGTTCCAGTTTCTTACGTGCTTCGCACCTGCGCCTCGGTTGACCTTGAATCCCGGCGCGGCGCGTGTCTACCCCACCTGCCTTCGCTACGGGACCGTGTGCGGCTGGAGATGGGTCCCCCGGGCGGAGGTGAGGCCTGCTGCTTGCAGGACATTTGGCCTCCACTGCACAGTTCGAAGTCTCACTTCTGGGGGTGGCGCCAGGGAAGGCAACGGCCGCGGATCCAGCTCTAACACCGGGCAGCCACGGGAGGCGTCCAGCCGGAGGCAGGGCCTCCCCGACACTCCCGTCTCCAACCGCCTAAAGGAAGCAGAAGGGGCTGGAAGGCGGCTCAGTGGTGGAGCGCTCGCCTTGAGCTGAAGAGCTGAGGGACAGCGCCCAGGCCCAGAGTTCAGACCCCCCGACAGACATGAAGAAGGAGGAGGGAGGGGAGGAGGGGGACGGGGAGGAGAGGAAGAACAAGAGGAGGAGAAAGAGGAGGAAGAGAAAGAAGAAGAAAAGAAGAGGAGGAGGAAGAATTAAAAGAAGTGGAGGAGGGGGAGAAGCAGCAGCAGGAGGAAGCAGTCACTTTTGTAATCTACTCTGCAGGGGTGACGTCCTGGGCTGGGCGGGGTCTCTCAGGGGGACGGGGGGTGTCCACTTAGCAAGCCCTGAGTTCAAACCCTAGCATGGCGCAAAGCAAGCCGACAGGCCGGCGGCGGCTGGGATGGCTCGGTGCCGGGCACAGCATCACTTACCCGCGTGGGGGAGGACGGTGCTCCGGGGTGGCCGCGGAGGCGGTGGGGAGCCGCCTGGGTCTCGCCCGGCTCGGCTGGTGCACAGCCGCTCCACTGTGAGCCAGGACACGGAAACAGGACAAGACAAACCGAAAACCACAACTCTCGGCCGGGGTCCGGAAAACAAAGAGAAATTACGTGGAGCCGGCCAGGGGTCACCGGAGCCGAGGATGCTTGCAAACAGGAAGCACCTGTGTGTCCAGCAGGCGGCATGTGCCAGCGACAAGACCAGGCGCCTGACTCCTCCTCCAGTGCTCCTCAGGGCCCCATTGACAGAAGTGGGCGGCGGCCCCGTGGCATGGGCAGGCGGCTGCCCCTCTGTGGAGAACGAACGACCCAAGCAAGACGTCCTGCACACCAGCCCCGGCCCCCAGGCCGCCTCCTTCCTGCCTACACGTCTGAGTTACCATCACAAAATTAGCATTGAGCGAGGGAAATGACAGAATCCTGCAGATCCCCCCAAAATACTAAATGCTAAACTCACCCCATGCCCCAATGAAGAAAACGGCTCAATAAACACACAGGCTTTCCTTTATCATGATTGAAAGTATGATCTTTTAAAATAAAAACAAAAATCAGTCATGAACACCAAAGCTTGTGTCTGGGTGCAGCTCAGCGGTCCAGCGGAAGACCCCAGGTTCAATCCCAGAGCTACAAGGAAGCTCTTGTTTAGGACAAGTGTCTGTAAAACCCCTTGGTTACCAGCGCCCCGCCCCCCTACCCCCCCCCCCCCCGGGGCGACGCAGCCCCGGGGCTCCTTTTAACCAGAGATTGTGTGTCCCAGGAACAGACTAGGCATTGGCCTGTAAGGGCTTTGTAAAAGCCAAATACAAACCAAAATGTGCTTTGGGGTGACATTTGGGGGTCCTGGGGCTCCCTGCCAGCACTAGAGAGCCCAGAAAGTTGTCATCTAAAGGACAAACCTGAGCGTGTGCCCCAAACTCCTCCCCCAGCTGGGATGGAGCTTCAGAAAGTGGGAGGTGTGTATGCCTGTGTATGCCTCTGTGTGTGTGTGTGTGTGTGTGTGTGTGTGTGTGTGTGTAGTGGAGCAGCGTATGATAGAGTGAGATTGACATCAGTGTGCCTCTTTCCTGAGCCCTGGTCAGTCTGGCTCTGTACTATTTTCTGAAAGTTTTGGGCTCAGAATTCGGGCTGCCTCCAGCCAACAGTGGCCAGCTGTGGGGTGTGGCCTCACCCAGATGTAAGTAGATCTACAAAATATTTTAAAGCGTGTTTAATACACCTTTAATTTCCTCCCACACCCACTCTTACTGTGATTCAGTTTTAGCTTATCACTGGGCTGTTTTAATTGAATTTAACTTGGGGTAATTATACAAGCACTGAGAGGATTTGAACGCTTTGGGAACCGTAATTAGTCAAAAAAAAACATCAGGCTTAATTTTGAGTTGAGTTTAGTGCTCTTATTTTTTTTAAGTTTTTTTTTTAAGCTTTAAAAATAGGATGCGTGGGGGGGGAGGGTAATTAACATCTCAAGGTTTCCTGGCTACTTCCTGTAACCAGTGTCTTTTCAGAGGACTGAAAGCTTGACTTTTTACTAATATTCTGAGTGAAAAGTGATTCTGCAGATCAGTCTGCCATGGCTCCTGGAGAACTGAATCCTGGTTTCAAAGCCACTGGAAAGGGAGTTGGCATTTTTCTCACCGGCTGGCTACAGTTGGCACAGGGACCAGATGAATGCGGCCCTTTGCTTACTGTTCCCTCTAGCTCCTGTTTCCTGGTTCTGGCAGAGGGCCTTGGAGCCTGGGGCTGGCAGGTTAGGATGGCGTGGTGCTGGTTCGCAGGCACTGGACTAGCAGGTAGAACCACGTGACGTGGCTTTCCAAGTCGTGCTTCACATTCCTTCTGTGGCCTAAGTCTCACAGTTGTGTTTGGATGCCATCTTTCAAAGCTCGCTCATTCACCATCCTGTGTCGACTCCGTCCAGGTAGCTATAGTTTGCTTGTGGCCTTGTTTGCGCTGACAGGCAGGGCAGGCGACCTCCTTCCCCAGACCCCTTGATCAGGAACTTGGCTTTGACTTCCACTGTCTAGGCCATCTGTCTTCTGCTCTTTCTAGAAGACTCGCACCTCTCAAAGCAACTGGATGGGCGCACTGCTGAGCAGAGAGAGGACAGGCTGACAGGGCCTCACCTGCACATCACCTTTCCACTTTGAGTAATTCTGCCTTCTAGCGTAGTTGTCTGAGAGTTCAAATAGGTGTAGAGATTCATCTTTCAGTTGTATTTGTTGCCAAACCTCCTACAGGAGAAGATACCGGCTTTGTGCAATATGTTAATATATTTAACTTGGTGTTTTTTTTTTTTTTCTTTTTGTCAGTCATGGGCGCTGTCCCTGCGCTCTTCAGCTCAAGGTGAGCGCTCTACTGCTTGAGCCACAGCGCCACTTCCAGTTTCCTAGTAGTTTATTGGAAATAAGAGTATCATGGACTTTCCTGCCTGGGCGGGCTTTGAACCGTGATCCTCAGATCTCAGCCTCCTAAGTAGCTAGGATTATAGGCGTGAGCCACCAGTGCCTGGCTTAACTTGGTGTTCTTAAATACTTCTCACCTAAGAACACAAAACACACAAAAACTGTATAACCTTCAAATGTCCCTGAAGAACAAGAGCTTGCAAACAGTACGTCTATGTACAATGTTGTTTCCAAAGTGCCCCCCCCCCCCCAAAAAAAATCACACTGTAGAAAACTGGAGATAAGAAAAAGCCCAGTGACCTCGGTGTGCTCCGCTTCTGCCGGCCCAGCGCCCGGGGCACACCAGCGCTGTGATCCACCCACCAGCAGCAGACCTGACCCTGGCCCTGCTCTCCCAAGCTGAGGGCAGGTTAGGACAAGACTCCGATTCTTGGCTCTCCCTAGCCTGACCTGGGAGACTGCTCCAGGCACAGCCTACGTATGTTGAGCAAGCGCCAAGCGTGAGTTCAACAGGCCTGGAAAAGTATTTTGAAAGGCAAATCATTTGTTGTGTGTCTTCGTCCAGTGTCGGACATGGCTGCTTAGAGGACAGCAAGCCGGACGGGCCCCCGGGTGAGTAGAAGGCTTGGCCCGTGCTTGGCCCATCAAGTGTGCGTGCAGGAAGATGCACTGGCCACACTGGAGGCCTGCGGAAGCGAGGTGGGACCCGGCGTGGTCAGAGTGGAACCCCAGCCCCGCTGCTGGGGCTCTGGGCTGGAAAGCATTCTGTTCCCCATCTTGCATGGCTGGCAACGCTCGCTCTGATTTCAAAGGCGCCCGGCCACCAAGGGAAGGCAGGCATTTGGCTGTCCTCTTTCGGGGGGGGGGGGATGGGGGGGGCTGGCCACTCGGCAGGAAGCCCCCACTTGCTGTAAAGGGACGAGCAGGCTGAGTGAGAGCATCAAAGCCCCCACAGGATGCAGCCGCGGCCCCGGCCTGCGCGCCGGTGGGCAGCGGCGACCCCGCGCCTGCTGCAAGCCAGGCCCAGGTTTAGAATTCCCAGAATCTTGTTTGTTCACCTGCTTCCTACTGGCCTAAGGAACTTCTGAAGGATGAATGAGTAACGCTCTCAGAAGCTCAGTCTGTGCCGGAGGGAAGATGGGGTGGGGGCGGGGTGGCTCTGGGCATAGCTGCCTGCGCTCTAGGCAGCATGGGGTGGCGGGCAAGGGCCAGGGTGGCATGCGGCATCGTGTGTTCTGCTGGGACACGGTGGCCTGAGCTGGGATCAGTTCTCAGCTCAGAGCAGGGATGAGGCGCCCTGCAGCTAACTCAGACACAGACAGGGCCTGAGGGGGGCCAAGGGAGGCAGAGACTGCTGGCAGCCAGGCTGTCTGTGGACCAGGAGTTTCTGGTTGTGAAATCCCTTCTCCCTCCCTCCGGTGGTGAGTGGCAGAGCTGATTCCAGCGGCCCCGACCTCCTGCCTCCTACACCCACCTCTGTCTTTCTCCCACCACTATCTGCAGTTTGGCACCCGGCAAGCGCATGAGTTGGGCTTGATTTATCACATGACGTTCTTATGTCATCAATTTTAATACAAACAGCAAATACTTATTTTATGATAGAGGGTGATGTTCCCTGAAAATCCTTTTGCAAATGAACACAGGAAGAGTCAAGTCTTTTTCTCAATGGTTCCCCTCATACGTGTGTGTCCAAGTATGGAGTAGGCATATTTAAACTATTTTAGTAAATTCTTAACTCCTGCCTTTATTGCTCTTGCCACCAGGTGGCTACGGAGAAATTAAGCAGGACAAATGTGACAGAGGTGCCAATGACTCGTGATCACACTGGCCTTCTGCCTGCGCGGTGAACTCTCACAGTGGGGACGGAGCAGGCCAGAGTAGGGTAGGCAACGCTGGGCCAGATGGACCTTTCTACCAGTGGTTTTGTTTCTGTAAATATTGACAATGTTAAGCTCGGCAGATCTTGCTGAACCAAGACTTTGGGAGCCTATTCCACCTCCAGCCTGAGCCCTGGGTATCCACATGGTTCCTGGCCAGCCTGGATTCGGGACAAAGGTTCCACTTTGGGCTCTTGAATTCCTGTGCAGAGAAGACACTCCAGGGTTGGCCCAGGCGCAGAACCCCGCCCATCCTGGAATGTCTGTGACGTCACTGCAGAGATCTTAATCCACTTGGAAGGGGCTTTAGGGACTCAACCTAAAATCCTCCAAAGCCCAGGCTGATACCTTCTGCATGGGGGTTTTGGGGAATCCATCCACGGAGGCTGGCATATGCTCTCAGACCCATTTCAGTTGGAAGTGTCTGTGAGAGTCAGGACAGCAGCTAGCGGCACACACTATCCTTTCTGGGTTGCCAAGCAAAGGGAAGGACCATTCAGCCCCAGTGACGGGTCAGCCTACCGTTTCCTGGCCAGGTCACGTGCCTGCCCAGCCTCTCATGTGCTGGGCTTTGGTTCTCTAATTTATTCACTTTGACAAGTAACCTCTTGGTTGTACACCACTTTACTCCCAACTTGCCTGTCTGATTCAAAGTGAACACGAGTGCCTTAATCCTCTAATGGGAATTAATTGCTTGTTTCAGTGCTTAACTCTGATCTTTCTTGATCTCCACAGGGACAGGTTGCTTCCTGAAGGACCCGTGTGTGTCACTCAAAACACAATCCGAAAAGGTAACAATGGTTTTCCTATGGCAGTAACCAGCCAGGCCAAACTCTATCTATTGCATAAATAGTGTTCACTAACTTATTTTATAACATAAAGGATGCACCTGCTAAACTTTCTTATAATAAGTTAGTTTCTGTCACCCTTATAGAAATGAGCTATCCCATTGTACAGAAAATTGCTAACTTACATCAGAGTTGGAATGAACTCTTTACGCCACTTAGGAATTCACATTGGGCCACAGAAAGGGTACTTGGCCAGCAGTCTGCAGAAATCAGGTCATGAGGAAATATGATGAACCCAGGGAGTTTTTTGTTTTTGTTTTGTTTTGTTTTTGTCGGCCATGGAACCTGGACTCAGTGCCTGGGCATCGTCTTTTGCTCAAGGCTAGCACTCCAACCACTTTGAGCCACAGTGCCACTTCTGGTTTTCTGGTGGTCAGCTGAGAGAGTCTCACAGACTTTCCTGCCCAGGCTGGCTGTGAACTGCCATCCTCAGATCTCAGCCTCCTGAGTAGCTAGGATGACAGGCAAGAGCCACCGGCGCCCACTTAAACCCAGTTTTGAGAAGAAGAATACAGAAGCTCTAAGGCTTCAACACGATTCCTGCAGATCTACAGCTGCAGCGTGGAAGAGGCAGGACTGGGTCCCAGCGTCTCATTCTACCCCAGTGCACGCGGGCTGTCTGCCCACCTGCACGGCTATGTCTGGTCCAGCAGAACACACATCCTTCCATGCGTGGCTGTCTGGAGACATCATGTTAGCTACAGTTAAACAGCAGTCTCTGTTCTGCTCTGGAAAAGCCCAAATGGCTCTTCAATAGCTTTTCCATCCCTTCCTTATTAATCCAAACTTGCATTTTTATCCAAGACTCTGACCACAGTTGTGTCATAGAAATATCTATCTATTTATCTATCTATCTACATATATATATACATATATATATATATATATATATATATACACACACATACATACGGGGGGGGGGGGGGAGAGAGAGAGAGCACTAGTGGCTCATGGCTACAATCATAGACTCTTAGGAGGTAGAACAGGAGTTTAACAAGCTCATGGCCCTGAGTCCAAACCCTGTACTGCCCCCAATATATATAGAGAGATAGAGAGAGAGGTAAATAGATAGATGACAGCTATCTTATGGCTACAACCAAAATTAAAATATCATTCAGTCTTTTTATTTTTTGGTAGCACTGGTTAAAGTCAGGTTTTCACTGGCTAGGCAGGTGCTTACTCAGCCACAAGTCTGGTCTTTTTTATACTGGGTATTTCTAAGATAGGGTTTTGTTTCCTGCCCAGAAGAATGCCTGAGTTTCGACCCATTTGTGTCAGACTTCCTAATGTATCTAGGACAAGAAGTGTTTGTCCGTACATCTAGCCCTTGGTTGAGAAGGGGTATTGTAAACTTTTCTGCTCAGACTGTTCTTGAACTGTGGTCCTCCCAATCTTGTCTTGGGTAGCTAAGATTATAAGCATGAGCCCTACCAGTTCCTGGCCCACCTTATTTTTTTAGTTGATTATTTGAAAAACAACCAAAATCAGTTTTGCTTTTTATAAAGCAAAAGAAAACAGCTGTCTGGAACAATTAAGCTTGAAATTACAGAGGAAACAGAATTTTGGAAATAAAAAGGATTATAGTTGGGTGCTGGTAATCTTTAGCTACTCAGGAGGCTGAGATCTGAGGATCATAGCTTGAGGTCAACCAGGAAAGTCTGTGAGACTCCAATAAACCACTCAAAGGATGGAAGTGAAGCTGTGGTTTATGTGACAGAATGCTAGCCTTGAGCACAAATGCTGAGAGACAGTGCCCATCCCTGAGTTAGAGCCTGAGGGTAAGCATACACACACACACACACACACACACACACACACACACACACACACACACGCTGCACATACACCCCCCCCACACACACATACACACACCATTATAGGAGAATAGTATAAACGTGTGTGTGTGTGTGTGTGTGTGTGTGTGTGAGAGAGAGAGAGAGAGACAATGGCTCACCTAAATGAAAAGGCAGATATTACACAACTTAGCATAGCCGAATCATGAAATAAAAAGATCAAAAAGTACTGTGGGGAGGGGAGGACTAGAGGACGGCTTCCCTGGTGAATTCTCCCAAAGACTGAACAAATGAACACCAGTCTTCCTGAAATCATTCTAAAGAAATGGAAGGGAACAAACACTCTCATACTCATTCGTATCAAAGGCAGACAAGGACCTAAAGACCACCACAGCCTACATCCCTGAGGAGGACTGACACGCAGATCCACGGTATGACCAGTCTTGATGATGAGGTATTTATTCCTGGAGAGCAAGGATGGGTCAACAGACCAAAATCAGTTTTACAATGCAGCACACCACCTTAACAGAATGGTGAGAAAGCACACAACCATCCCAACTGATATAGAAAAAAGCACTTAAGAAAATTCAACACTGTCTCATGATAAAAAAAAAAAAAAGGAAATTACTTCAACATAGCAAAGAACTCATTAATCATCAGGGAAATGCAAATCAAAACTACAGTGAGCTACAGCCTCACGCCCATCAGGATGGCCGTGTGCCGCAACGGCAGCCACACACACCTGAGCTGGCAAGGATGGCAGGGATCAAACCCCTGGCACTGCTGCCGAGAACGCAACGTACACAGCGGCCAGAGGGAACCAAGAGGAACAAAATTAGTTTCCAGATGATCTAGCAATCCTACCTGTGGGTATGAACACCGAAGGAACTGAGAGCAGGATCTCACCTCTGTGTGCACCCTGGTCACTGCAACCCTGTTCACACTGCTGAGAACTGGAAGCCACCAGCCATCGATCAGATTGGTGCAAGCTGGGGGTGCTCAGTGGTGCTGTGACCAAGGCCATGGTGATCCAAAGCTGCAGTGCTGCCTTGGGACCCTGCCTTCTTCAGAGACCTTGTCCACTCTTGGGTGAAGCTTCCTTCCTTCCTTCTTCCCTCCCTCCTTCCCTCCTGACCTCTCCCTCTCTCCCTTCCTTCACAGGAGATAGAGCCTTTGTGCTATGTACATTTGTGAACACAGGGCATCTCGCAGCACTCAGTCTAAACTTCATACTTGCCCACTAGCACCTCTTTGCATCAGTTAGGTTCTCAGCCCTGGTAGCACCTTTTTCTTCTTCCTCTTCCTCCTCCTCCTCCTCCTCATCATCATCATCATCTTCATCACCTCCAATTTAAGAACAGCACCCCCCATTCTGTCCTGGCTCTGCAATTTGCTTTTAGTGTCGGTTTTTTTGAAACAAGGTCCCACTATGAGGCCCAGACCGTCCCGGAACTCATATGATCCTCCTGCCTCAGCCTCCTGAGCACTAAGATTGCAGGTATGCTCCACCAGGCCTGGCTTATTCTATGCTTTCAAGAATGCTTTTAGCCACTCGTCTCTGGCTCCCGTAATACTTTACTTCAGGAGTCGGGGACAGGTCACAGAGCAGGGTGTCCAGGCACATGGCCTACACAGTGCCCTGTGCTGCCTTAAACTCCTTTCCTTCCAAATAGTTGCTGCCTCCTCTTCCCCTTTCTCTCTGTCCCAGTGGCAGGAAAAGCGAGTCCCTCTCTTCCCCACCCTCCTCCAGGCTGTTTCAGTCATTGCCTTGGTATTGGGAGTACAGGCCCAGCCAAGGGTGTCTGTGAGCAGCATCCTGGAAATGGGAATGGAAATAAACTCTGCAAACCCAGACTGGCTGGAGTCACCCCAACCTGTCTCCAGAGACAGCCATCCTGAGCTCCCTGCCCCCCTCCCCCACTTCAGTGTTCAGAAGCATGTCGGTTTTTAGGAAGAAAGGCCAGACGTGAGAAGGAAATGTCTTCACGAAACTGATCCCAACACAAAGAAGACGGGAAGTTAGAAGAAAGGGCTAATAAAGAGAAGAAACTTTAAAGACAGGACAGCTGTGGAAGAACAATAGGCTAAAAACAGTGGGAAAGATGCTAGAAGGGCAAAGGAATGTTTTAAATGCACAGAATTGAAAGATGAAGGCAACAGAGAGAACAGGAATGAAGGAGAGAAGAGCCTGGGGGGAGGGGGAGGGGCTCCAGATGTCCGCCACCAAACGTCAGATCCACAAAGAGGAGCGGAGGGTGCCAATGGCTGTAAGCCTAGCTATTCAGGAGGCTGAGATCTAAGGTTCGCAGTCCAAAGCCAGCCTGGGCAGGAAAAGTCCCAGAAGCTCTTATCTCCAAATAACCACCAAAAAGCTGGAAATGGCACTGTAGCTCAAAGAGGTAGAGCAATAACGTTGAGCACTAAAGCTCAGCGACAGTGCCCAGGCCTGACCCTCCCCCCCCCCCCCCAAAATAAAAAGAGGGAGGGAGGGAGGAAGAAATTCCAGAACCTGTGATCAAGAGTTTCTGGTTGAAATTCCAGCAACATGAATAAAAAAGACAAACCACTTGAGGTCATATCATCGGAAGCTTTCTGAACAGGTGGTAGGAATGAAGGGCTGAGGGACAAGCACCTGCTGAGACAAAGCCCAGGCCACAGTGGAGCTGGGAAAGCGGAAGACAGGGAAAGCATGCCGGGATGCTAACATGCACCCCAGACCCTTCATGTGCCACAGTTAACCTGGGCAGGAGAGAAGTGTCTGCAAATGGGGGAGAGGGGCCCCAAAAGGAGATGAGCTCCAGCCTAGACAGCTTGAGGACAGCAAGCGTGGCTCAGAGCCACGGGTTCCAATTGCACCCAGAAAAGGCGAGGCGAGGCTACTGCTACCCAAACTGCCCAAGCAAAACAAACGTGGCACAACTGTATTCCAAGAAAAACGTACCGATGCTGAGAGAGGAAACACAAGCAGTGCGTTGGTCAGCTGAGAGTGGTTTTACATAGCGCTGCTGCTGACACTGAACGTTTGTCCAGAAATGGGCAAGTGTGGCCAGGACAGAAGGAAGGTCCTATGCAGGGTGACCGCTCTGGAGGGCCGTTCCAAGTGGGACCTCACTCTGCCATGGCTGTGGTCCTCGGAGGAAGCTGCTATGATCCCTTCATTTTGCAGCTGATGAAGCTGCGGCACAGAGAGGTGAAATGATTTGCTTGAAGTCACACTGTTAATATCAAGTGTTAAAGCCAAGATTTCAACAGGAAAATCAGTTCTGATGTCTCCTTTAAACCATTATTCCCATGTGTTTTTGAAACAGGAAGGCAAGACATAATTTTAAAAAGCTGGATGTTGGTGGCTCACGCCTATTATTTTAGGTACTCAGGAGGCTGAGATCTGAGGATCATGGTTCAAAGCAAGCCTGGGCAGGAAAGTCCATGAGACTCTTATCTCCAGTTGGTCACCAGAAATCCAGACGTAGTGCTATGGCTCGAAGTGGTAAAGCATTAGCTTTGAGCAAAAGAGCTCAGGGACCAAGCCCAGGCACTGAATTCAAACCCCACAACCTACCAAAAAATAATATATAAATAAAACTCAAAAAGTAGCAGTCAAATGATAGAAGTTGCATTTCCACGAGCAATGTGGAAACATCAAGTGTACCTGTCAAAAGGCTTTTAAGTGTTGCCTCTGGGGTGTAGAAAGGTTTCATTTCTCCTGTAAAGCGATTTACAAGCTTCCTCAGAAGCAAGTTTTATCCTCCTGAGCCTCTGTGCTGGGACGGACTCAGGGCCTGGCTTTGCTAGGCCAGCAGCCTGCCTCTGAGCCAGTGCCCAGAGCATGCCCGCAGTCCCAGCTCCAAAGCCTGCCTCCAGCAAGTATGCCTTGGGCTGACACCACACAGCACTGGGCAGAGGCCTGTGGAAGCCAGGCAGGGCTGGGCGAAGCCCCTCTTTTCAGTGTTCCCGTGCATTATTGAGTCACTTGTCATTATCGCGTTGTTATGTAACGGTCTGTGGCAGTAAATATTTACTTCCACTAGAAGTGGCTTTCATAAGGTCGCTTCTGGGGTCACAGTGAACAGCCCTGAAGCATCATCACCAGAAGACCCCAAGAGCAAAGGCCGGACTCGGCAGGAGGCTATCCTTAAAGTTTGCTCAGCAACAGTCAGGACCAGAATAAAAATGTAGTGCTGAAACCTGGATTGTCTCTTGTAGACAGGTGATTCTTTCCTCTGTGGACTTGCTTACTCCTAATTTTTCCACATTTTTCTTAGTATATATATCAACTGTTCAGCGGGGGGTAGGGATGGTGTGATAGTTCCATGTGTGTACTTTTTTTTTTTTTTTTATCAGTTGTGGAACTTGAACTCTGGGCCTGGGCGCTGTCCCTGAGCTCTTCAACTCAAGGCGAGTGCTCTACCACTTGAGCCATAGCACCACTTCTAGTTTTCTGCTGGTTAATTGGAGAAAAGAGTCTGGTCACAGACTTTCAGCCCAGGCTGGCTTTGAACCTCTATTCTCAGATCTCAATCTCCTGAGTAGCTAGGATTACAGGTGTGAGCCACTGGCACCTGCCATGTTTGTATACTTGGATCCATTTACCCCTCGATTACTCTTTCTTATCACACCTTTTAAGATCTTTCCCATAGTACTTTATGAAATGAGTTTCATTAGGTCCTTTGTGTTTTGGTGCTGGGTCTGTGTCCCCCAGGCTGGTCTGGAACTCACTATGATCTTTTTGGCCACATATACGGTACACTTCAAGGATGTTTGCTCCTCCCCCTTTCTTTTGCTTCTCCCACTATGATATTTGTGGTGCAGATTTCCAAGACCTTTTTATTGTTTTGTTTTTTGTTTTTGGGGTCCGGTTGTGGGGCCTGAACTCTGTGCCTGGGCACTGTCCCTCAGCTCTTTAGCTCAAGGATAGTGCTCTACCAGTTGAGCCACAGCGCCACTTCCGGCTTTTTTCTTTTTTGCTTATGTGGTGCTGAGTAATCAAACCCAGGGCCTCATGCATGCGAGGCAAGTGCTCTACCACTGAGCCACCTTCCCAGCCAAGACCTTTTTAAAAAGTTGAACTCAAACTGCCTAAGAAATTGGACTGTCTGCATGGTGAGTTCCCAGGCCAGGCCGCCCCTACTGACAACTGCGTTCTCTGAGCGCCTGCTCCCCAGCGGGTGGCCAGCAGGGTGGCTGGCATCTCCCTCGCCCTCCGGCCCACTACGAAGAGTCAGGTGGGATGCAGGAGCGGCAGCTTGCCCAGGCTTCTGTGTCTTGGGAAGCAAGGTGTCCCCTGGCCTTCAAGCTGCTTCCCCGGGATAGGTCGTTTCCGGATATAAAGAAGAGAGGGTGGCATGATGTACCAGGTAAGGCCTCAATGGGAAGTTGAGCAAGGACATCCTGTCCCTTAAAAACTCCAGGCAGGGCTTTATTAAAGGGCTGGCCTCTGAGACTGGGTCGGCCATCTGAAGTGAGTTCTAGGAAGCACTCAGAGCTTGGCATGGAGGCCGGGGCTCTGTCCTGCTCTCTGTTCCTGCCCAAGCAGACAGATGTCACGTCACTGTGAGCATGGCTCTGCAGGCCTCAGCCACAAGTAAAAGGTGAGGTGCAGTGATGCACCTGCAGCCCCAGGCTCATTGAACCCAGGAGCTCAAGGCCAGCCAGGGCAACGCGAGTCCTGTCTCAAAGCACCATCTGCAAATACATGAAAGATTTCTTTCTTTTTTTTTTTTTGGGGGGGGGGGGGTCCAGTCATGGAGCATGAACTCTGGGTCTGGGCACTGTCCCTCAGCTCTTCCGCTCAAGGCTAGCGCTCTACCACTTGAGCCACAGCACCACTTCCGGCTTTTTTCTTTTTGCTTATGTGGTGCTGAGGAATCGGACCCAGGCCCTCATGCTTGCAAGGTAAGCGCTCTACCACTGAGCCACCTTCCCAGCCCCACATGAAAGATTTCTATTTCTTTTGTGCTGGGGCTGAGCCCGGGAGCTTGCCATGCTATGTAAGTACTCTCTTCCGGCTGCTCTCCCAGCTCAGGCTTTCATAGTCACGGGGACTTGTCCCTTTCTCCAGACTCCACATTTGGTAAACTTCAGGTCTGGCCTACTGCCTCCAAGCCAATGATGGCTTGTGTGCATTTCTATGGTGTCCACAAAGCAAGTCTGGCTGGGGATGGTCCAGTCTGGTTGAGGCTGGTCCAGTCTGGTTGGGGCTGGTCCAGTCTAGATGGGCTGTTCTAGTCTGGATGGGGCTGGACCGCTCTGGATGGGGCTGGTCCAGTCTGGTTGGGGCTGGTAGAGTCTGAATGGGGCTGGGCTGGTCTGATCGGAGCTGGACCGCTCTGGATGGGTCTGGACCGCTCTGGATGGGGCTGGTCCAGTCTGGATGGGGCTGGTCCGGTCTGGACGGGGCTGTTCTAGTCTGGATGGGGCTGGACCGCTCTGGATGGGGCTGGTCCAGTCTGCTGGTTGTCCTGCTCCAGTCCACAGTCTGTAGCGAGAGTAAAAGCTGAGGCGCAGCCCGACGCCTAGCGGAAGAGGCTCGGCCTTCCCGGGCCGCGCCCGCTTACTCTCTCCTCCACCCCGCAGGCAGATGGCCCACGTCTTCGTGTACGGGACCCTGAAGCGAGGCCAGCCCAACCACAAAGTCATGCTGGACGGGGCGCACGGCTCGGCGGTGTTCCGGGGTCGCGGCCGCACGGCCGAGCCCTACCCCTTGGTGATCGCGGGCGAGTACAACATCCCCAGGCTGCTGCAGCTGCCGGGGCGGGGCCGCTGCGTGGCGGGTGAGATCTACGAGGTGGACGAGAAGATGCTGCGCTTCCTGGACGACTTCGAGGGCTGCCCGGACCTGTACCAGCGCACGCCAGTGCGCGTGCACGTGCTCGAGTGGGAGGGCGGCGTGCGCCCCGGCGACAGCCTGCGGTGCTTCGTGTACAGCACGGCCACCTACGCGCCCGAGTGGGTCCACCTGCCCTACCACGACAGCTACGATTCCGAGGGCGCCCACGGGCTGCGCTACCATCCCCGGGAGGCCCGGTGAGCAGGGCCAGCCGAACCCGGGGCCCCTCCATGGGAGAGGGGAGAGGGCGGCAGACTGTGCGCTGGCCTGCAGCACCCAGGACATCTGATGATAACCAAGCAGACTGTGCGCTGGCCTCCAGCACCCAGGACATCTGATGATAACCAAGCAGACTGTGCACTGGCCTCCAGCACCCCAAACATCTGATGATAACCAAGTCGACTGTGCGCTGATCTGCAGCACCCAGGACATCTGATGATAACCAAGCAGACTGTGCGCTGGCCTCCAGCACCCCAAACATCTGATGATAACCAAGCAGACTGTGCGCTGGCCTCCAGCACCCAGGACATCTGATGATAACCAAGCAGACTGTGCACTGGCCTCCAGCACCCCAAACATCTGATGATAACCAAGCAGACTGTGCGCTGGCCTCCAGCACCCAGGACATCTGATGATAACCAAGCAGACTGTGCGCTGGCCTCCAGCACCCCAAACATCTGATGATAACCAAGCTGACTGTGCGCTGGCCTCCAGCACCCCGAACATCTGATGATAACCAAACAGACTGTGCGCTGGCCTCCAGCACCCAGGACATCTGATGATAACCAAGCTGACTGTGCACTGGCCTCCAGCACCCAGGACATCTGATGATAACCAAGCTGACTGTGCGCTGGCCTCCAGCACCCCGAACATCTGATGATAACCAAGCAGACTGTGCGCTGGCCTCCAGCACCCAGGACATCTGATGATAACCAAGCTGACTGTGCGCTGGCCTCCAGCACCCCGAACATCTGATGATAACCAAGCAGACTGTGCGCTGGTCTGCAGCACCCAGGACATCTGATGATAACCAAGCAGACTGTGCGCTGGCCTCCAGCACCCAGAACATCTGATGATAACCAAGCAGACTGTGCGCTGGCCTCCAGCACCCAGGACATCTGATGATAACCAAGCAGACTGTGCGCTGGTCTGCAGCACCCCAAACATCTGATGATAACCAAGCAGACTGTGCGCTGGCCTCCAGCACCCAGGACATCTGATGATAACCAAGCAGACTGTGCGCTGGCCTCCAGCACCCAGGACATCTGATGATAACCAAGCAGACTGTGCGCTGGCCTGCAGCACCCAGAACATCTGATGATAACCAAGCAGACTGTGCGCTGGTCTGCAGCACCCAGGACATCTGATGATAACCAAGCTGACTGTGCGCTGGCCTCCAGCACCCAGGACATTTGATGATAACCAAGCAGACTGTGCGCTGGCCTTGAGCACCCCAAACATCTGATAATAACCAAGCAGACTGTGCTCTGGCCTCAAGCACCCAGGACATTTGATGGTAACTAAGCACTGGCTTTAGATGGCTCGGCATTTAAAAGGACCAAGCAGCCCCACAGGCCAGCCCCGCCAACTCCAGGTCACACATAGGAACTAGTCAGGATAGCCATCTACAGTTCAACTGGGCTTTCATAGGAGGTGAGACGTAAATGGGCCGTGCTATGCTTGGCACTTGTTTTGGTACCCTTACTTTTGATAGACGGTCCTCTTCGTTGTAATCTAGCAAAATCCTGGCCACCCACTCACCGTCGACACAGCTGAGCTCCGGGACTCTCGGATGCGCCGAGCCGCTCCCCAGCAGCCGGGCCCATCGCCTGGGGGTGGGCCTTTCAGAGAAGAACCAACACGTTAGTAATTTGTTCCTCAGGCCCTGACAGAAGGTTGCACTTCCAAATACAAACAGCACTTAAAATAATGTTAGCAAGGCACGAAGTACCAATTACTACCCACCTCCATCTGATCATCTGTCAGCGTAGATTCAAGTCAGTGCACGACTCTGCTTCCAAGCGAGTAGAAAATGGATTCCAAGAATTTCAGAGGCAAATCGAAGTGCAGCTGCTGGTCCTTAGTAACCTCATTCTCCATTGGGAGAGCTCGCTTACGCTTCAACTTAATGGTAGACTGTGGTCGCTAACTGCATCTGGCACAAAAATATGAGCATTATTTTTAGCCTCTCTTTCTTAATTGGAAATGTGCTTCACACACAGAGAAAAGCAAGGACGAGCATCAGCTGATGTGCCCCACCCCGTGACAATGGGGAAGGCACCCAGGAACACACTTGTCCGCAGAGCAGTGCAGTCAGTGCACCGGCCTGACCAGCAGGCCCTGGAGCGACCCCTGGAGGGGTCAGCCATCCGGTGTGACCCTGCAGTCTTCTATACAAAGGGCTCTAATGAGCTTCACCTGTGCTGCCTCGTCCTTAGGAAGGTCTGGACCACCAGGCCCAGGAGCTAGTTCTCAATCGTGTAGAAAGGAAGGTGACCAGATTATAAAATGGCAAATGTTAATTTAACACAATTCAGAAGCACAAAACTAGAATTTAGATATAAAGAATCAATGAGATATTAGGAGTTATAGTCAATTGGCACAGATTGTCGCCTATGTGTATACTGTCTTCATTCAAAAAAAAAAAAGGGCAGACTAATATTTAGACAAATGCTTGGTTTTATTGATTGAATTTTGACACTAGGAAATCTCACAGCAGAAGTACAAATCGTATGTACAAGTATTTATATCAATGAAAATTTCCATTGGTGATTTTTTTGGCAGAATGTTGCTACTTCTGAGGAATAAATATGCTGATGTAAAACCTGCTGTCCAGGAGTATTCCTGTAAAATGCCTGAAAGTTGCGTGTGAGAGTAACACAAATGGCTAATTAGGCGGTGACTGCAAGACTATAAATACTTCATTCCAGCTCCACGAGCAGATCTCCTTCTCCAACTGTGTCTCCAGTTTTACAGTGCACCAGCTTCACCTTGAATTGAAGAAACAGGGCAGAGTGAGCATCGGCGACTGCAGCAGGAGGGGGCAGTCCCCTAACCCCTGTCAGGAAGCACATGGGCAGGCCTGGTAGCTCAGGCTCAGCCAGCTGAGCTGCTCTGCTCATCCAGGGAAACCCGGATGAAGGACGGCTGTTTGCCTGTCCCTCTCTGTCTCTTCTTGTCAGCCCACCGAAACTTCTCTGGGAATCTCAGCTATGGTTTGCTGGCTGGACTTTGGCAGTAGACTCCCAGGGCCTGGCCAGTCTTAAAGTCCATGCTGGAGACTTCCATATTCCCAGATACCCACTCTGCTATGGGTTATGGTTATAGAAGGGTTTTAAGAATTGATAATACAAGATCTGGGTTGGGGATTCAAAGGAGAACCTGCGAAGCCCGCTCATCTCTCTCCTAAGAGAAATAAGACATTCAGGAAGCCCTTAGCTCTGTGGCTGTCCTGAGGGGCATGTAGAGTACTTCTCACTCTAATATATGTTTAATTTAAAACAGGTAGGGAGGGAGCCGGAGCACATTAGGAGGCGATTATCTACCTCCTTAAAAGGTGGTTGCTTGGGTGTGAGAATGAGCAATGGGTTCTAACCAAGTGGCAAACACTCAAAATGGCAGCAACAGCTGGGGTGGTGCTGGCCTGCATCCCTGCCCCTCCACCACGAGCAGCCTAAACAGACCCTGAAGTTTTTTAGGAACAACGGGTTCTTCAGAGGCCTTGCTCAGCAGTGCTCTCTGGGGTAAAGTACTGCTGCTTCATTATCTGGACGCCATGATGCTGACCTTTTACACGATGGGACAACTCTAAAGGGCAGAGGGTGTGCTTCACTGCAGACTGATTCTCTAAGGGGAAAGTAACCCTCAGGAGCCCCGAGCAAGGCCAGAGCCCACTGAGCTTTATTGGGTTAGACTCTAGAATGCCTGGGAGTAGGGTGGGTGAGGAGATGGATGGGAGGGACTCCAGCTAGCAGTTGGGCCTAAGACAGAGCTCATGGGTGCCCAGCAGCAACCCTCAGCTCTCGGCGGCTGGGGAGAGGGGGCAGCTCTGCTGCTCCGGGAGCGCTCGGCAATGAGAACACAGGACACCCAGCCTGGGCTTGCTCCCTGCACCGGCACCTCCACCTAGCCACAGCGGCCTGGGCTAGAAGGCGGCCCTCATTCTTGGTCCCCACAACTAGGCCAAATTCTTGTCATGGACAGATAGGTTCTGATACTAGTGCTAGGTAAATGTGAAATAATCGCTAAGAACAAACACAGGTTTTCTTGTCTATTTTAAAAATCAACTCAAGAAAGGGTTCCTAAACCACTAAACCACTAACCCGTGCCCTTCTATTCTGTCAAGACCATGGACCATGGCCCGGCCGTCCTGCCGCCCTGCGCACAGGGGCCTCTGCTCTCTCTAGGGAGAACGCCGGGTAGCCCCGTGGCCTTCCTCTCGGAATCAGTTTCATTGCACTTTTGGGATGATAAACTACCAGATGGACAGACGCTGGGCTTCTGATGCAAGCTTAGTTGCACTGGGTCCCCAGGTGTGGCCCAGTGCAGGCCACTGCCACTCCTGCTGCGGCCCCGCTGGGGCACCCTCCATTCCACAGACATGGCCACACGCAGACATCTTTTGGAAAAGGGCCATTTTCCTACTAATGGTCTCAGTCACAGGAAGACAACGAAGTGATTGCTTTACAAAACAAAACAAAAAACAAACAAACAAAAAAAACCTATGCCAGCTGCCAGTGATTCATGCCTGTATTCCTAGCTATTCAAGAGGCTGAGATCTGAGGATCACGGCTGGAAGCCAGCCTGAGCAGGAAAGTCCATGAGACTCTTATCTTCAATTAACTATGAAAACGCTAGAAATAGAGCTGTAGCTCAACTGGTAGAGTGCTAGCCTAGCCTTGAGCAAAGCTCAGGAACAGGCCATCATTCAATCCCTGGGATAAGAAAGACACAAGAGAAGAAAGGTAGGGGGTAGGGAGGGAAGAGACCTCCAAGAAGTTTCACTCAGAAAACTTCAGCACTGACACATTTTTCTCTTTTCTCTGAATCACTAAGCTCTCTGTACATGCATGGGGTTTGCAGACTCTTCATCTACATAGACTGTACTCTTTGTGGGGAAATTATCTTGACTAGTTACATTTTTGCAATCTGTGAAACTGTCTCCTGCAGTGTCATCTAAGTATCAGATAACTAACTGCCTCCAAGACAGATGTAAACATTAAAAATTAAAGATCCCTTAATTTGAAAGATATCAAGGTGAAGAACAATTGTCCTTTGGCTACCTGAATATGCACACAGACGAACCAAGGCAGCAGGAAAGCGCTCCCGTGTGTTACTTTCTCCCCAGGGGAAAGAGAGGTTGTAGACACCACCTCTCCGGTCCTTTCCAGAACTGTGCATGACTCCAAAGTGGAAGTTCTGCCTCCATCACCGGGCCCGGGTAAGTAGGTGGGAACTCAGGGACATACCTTGCCAGTTTTCCCAGCTGTCATACTGTTCTGCATTTTCATAGCTTCAATCACACAAATTTCCTGACCTTCCGCTACCTGGAAAACAAATTTAAAATGGAATGAGATGTTTAAAGCATTCTAATTTTGCAATAATACCTACAGTGAAGCCATTATAGGGTACTTTGTCGCACATGCTGAAATGTTCATCAAAACAGCAACGACCTCTAACGCTTCCCATCCCAGCTGCATCCTTCAGGGACAGCAGAGAAAGGCTACTCCCCCTTATCCTCAAGTCCTCATTCATCATGAAATGACCAGATACTAGAGGTTTGGTGATGCTGTTTGTGGGGCTGCCCTGGGGACGGTACTCTCACAGAGGTGCTGGCAATCAGAATGTTTCCACTTACCTGCTATGCCTGGAATAAACAAGTTTCTACAGTGGCTTGAACTGGGGATGGGTGAATGGGTGCTGATGGATAGAGTTTCTTTTGCTGGGCACTGGTGGCTCACACCTGTAATCCTAGCTACTCAGGAGGCTGAGATCTGAGGACTGCAGCTCAGAGCCAGCCCAGACAAGAAAGTCCATGAGACTCTTATCTCCAATAAACCACCAGAAAACCGGAAGTGGCGCTATAGCTCACAAGCCCCACACCATGAGAAAAAAACAAAACACACAAAGTTTCTTTCAAGGGTGCTAAAAATGTTCTAAGATTAATTGTGTTGGTTGCAGACCTCTAGATAGATGAAAAACACTAGACTGTACACTAAAGGGGTGAATTACACTATGGGAATCTCATCTCAGGAAAGGGTTTTTTAAGGCATGTTTCAGATTATATTTCTGGGGAGCTGGGAATAGCAGCTTACTCAGTCAGAGCAGGAGGCGCACTGGCCCTCCCTCTGAGGGATGCACACATACTGCATTTGGTCCTGCACAGAGAGCCGCAGGTGCTCACTCAAGCCCAGCTTCTAGCATCTGCGTCTTACCATGAGGAAAATCCAGGCAGAGCTGAGTACAAACCCACGGGGGTGAAAGTGGAGGCCTCCATCCAGAAATCAGCTGTGACTAAAAGCCACTTTTTTCTTCAGTTTTCTCTGGCCTTGATGGGTAAGTACTGAGGAGCTAGGCCAGGCTTTTCTCTTAGCTCTTTGGCACAGGACCTCTGGCTCTTTGGAACAGTAGAATGAGACTCTGTGGGGCCTGGTGGGCATGCTGGACGGGGCTCCTGGACAGTCACATTTCAGTGCCTGTGCTGGCTGGTACCACAGAAGCGCCTGGAGAATGTTCCTTCCTGCAATCCCCAAATGATCTCCAAGTCCCTCTTGCGGCCCCCCGGGAGGCGCAAGCTGTCTTGCTGGCAGTGCCGCTTGCCTGGGCCCGAGCGTTCTTTCCTCTGCTGTCCAGGTGGGGGGCTGCATTCTCCTGGCACAAGAATATAGGAAGAGAGGGGATGCCAAGGCTCTGGGGCTGGCACTGAAGAGAAAGACTGAGAGGGGCTCTGAACACAGTGCTCACTGCCGCTTTTTGATTCGTTTCACCTGGCATCGACGTTCCGTGCACAGCGACTTGCAAGGGTTGTTCTTCAAAACGTGGAGGGCCAGAGATGGTCGTGCCAAGATGACACTGAGGCTCGAGTCCAAGGTGTTAGAACAGTTACTCCACACGTAATCGTTCCAGAGGCTTGCTTTCTCTCTTCAAAGGCAATCAGTAGCCAAGAAAGCCAGGAGAAGGACAGGTCTGCTGAGGTGCCCCTACCATTCAGCTAGCTCCCATAGGAAAGCCCCGTGGGTCCTGCCCAGGGCTTGCACAGAGCTAAGAGCCTGCCCAGCAGCCAGACCCAAATAACTTCAACCCACGGACGAGGTGCCCAGACAACAGAGCAGGATGACTCCCTGCAGACGGATCTGAAGCTCAACAGAGTGCTATGGGAAGTCTATCCAAAAAGTAGGGTCTGTGCTCTGGTCAGTAATCCCTCCACAGATAGGCAGACTTGTGAGCTGGCCTTCTACCTACCGACCTGGCCTGTCTTCCTCTGTTGGCATGAGGGTGCAGGACTCTCTCCAGCCTGCTCCACCAGCCTTTATAGGTGGGCACAGCCTTGTTCCTCTGCCAGCAGCTGTGTCCCCCCATTCCCTCTCTCCCATCTCTTGGGGTGTGCTGGCTCATCAGAATAGAACACTGCTTCCTTAAATGAATCTTCTGCAGCCCAGGGCCATACCAGAGGACAACGGTCAACCCAACAAAGATGTGTACAGCGAGCATGGTGAAGAACAGTGGACTGGGCCACCACCTCTGCCCTCCGGGACCTGCTGGGCCTGAGAGCAGTAGAGATGGAGAACGCACCTGGGGGGCTCTGCCATCGCTGATGATTCTCCCTGGCTGGCTCTGAGTGCTTGTAACATGGAGAGTTGCAAGAAGTTGACTATGAGCACTAGGTCCCCAAACCTCCGACTTAGCCTGGCCCAATCAGAAGTACTAGTGTTCCAATAGTCTGCTTCTGACTGGGTCACTGGTAATTTGATGAAAAGGATGTCAAAGGGAAAGCATCCTGACTGGAAGAGAGCCTGTCTTTCTGCCTGACTGGTAGTTTGTCCCAACTTGGAGAGTTAGATCCTGGGCCTTCTCCTTAGTTCTTTCCCCTAGTTTTGCTAGTGTGCACTGTCCCTGAGCTTTTTTGCTCAAGACTAATACTTTACCTTCCACTGCTGCCTTTTTGGTGATTAACTGGAGAAAAGAGTCTTGTGGACTTTCCTCCCAGGCTGGCTTTGAACCTTAGTCCTCCTGGGTAGCGAGGATTACGAGTAAGGGCCATCAACACCCAACTTGGAGGTAGCTCCAAGAAGATAGTGATATATTTTGTACAACAAGATCTTTGTAACACACACCCCAAAAATAACTCAGAGTTGGGGGCCAATGGCTTGCACTTATAATCCGAGCTACTCAGGAGGCTGAGATCAAGGATTGTGGTTCGAGGCCAGGTCAGGCAGAAAAAGCTACGAGACTTTTATCTCCAATGAAGCAGCAAAAAAAGCCAGAAATGGAGGTCAGACCCAAGCAGTACAGTGCCAAGACTGAGCAAAAAAGGCCAAGTCCAAACCTGATACCCCGAGTTCAAGCCCCAGTTCCAGCACAAACAAGAAACTAGTTCAGTCAGGAGAGCAGATATAGCTAGACTGTAAGCTGCATATCAGAGAATGGTGGCCATCAAACCACGTGCGCTCAGTCTCTGCAATTGGAAGATATGCCCCCAGGGCACCAAGCCTGGGTCCAGTTCCCATGAGAGGCATGCCAACAGGGCCTCCCCGCGCCACGGGGCTGTGTCTGGACCGCAGATCCCCCTGCCCAGGTCAGAGTGCTGGGCACTGACCCCACAGTGGCAGCACCTTCCAAATGCTGAGGGGGCTCAGGAAGCCAGGGCATACTCGGGCACACGGTGCAGACTCCTGAGCCCGTAGTCCCTGCCAGACAGCGCCCATGGCAGGGCTCGCTCCTGCAACATGTGTTCACACACGTCTCTCTAACACTTTTGTGAATCATCTGATAAAGACTTAATGAATGTGACAGGATGTCTCCAGTGTTAGGCTTAGTAACTGGTCACAAGCCTCACCAGTCTTTCTGATGAACCTAGTCGGCCTGATGTATTTCTGCACTCCCTGTGTAATTAGTGCAAAGTTTGGAGGCCTGAGTCGTGTATCTTTCATCCAGCTTATTGCATCCTCTCCTCTGACATGGGGTCAGGGTTCACATTCGCATCTGATTATCAGAGCAGTGCTCATTAAGCAGGAGCCAGCCTTGTCCCTAAATGAGTAAGCTGGAGAGAGAGCTCACCCCTTTTACTCAGCAGATTTTCACATGTTTGGGGGCCTGAATGTCACCCAGCATTGCTCTGTGCTGAAGAGTTTCAGACATCTCCAGCTGATGATTAATTGTGAGTGATGGGAAATAAAATCTAGTGAAGCCAGCTGCTTGCCATGGTCGGCAAAATGACTCTAATGGATAGAGGCTGCCAATTTTCCAGTTTTGCTGGCAAGTCTTCCAAGTGTAATTAAGGGAAGTTATAAATGATATGGAAATCTATCAAGTTCCATTTATTTTCAGAGGACTTTTTCCCCAGAGACTTTTATCTTGAAGCTTATAGTATGCTTTGTTGTGCTAATGATTTAAGCCACATCTTGTTTCAGATTAAAGCCCCCAATCTCCTTCCACCAAGTCCTCTTCACTCCTTCCACAAAGATTACAAACCACACAAGCGTCTCCACGCACGCCCCTCCCCTCCCGGAGCACATGCTCAGAGAGGGACACAGCTGACAACGCTGTCCCTGCAACTGCAAACTGCCACTGCCCTACAACCGCTCCAGGAGAGAGGCTGGGGGTGGGGAATCTCCATCAAGCACAAAAGAAAGCCCCCCGAAGTAGAGACTTGAGAGCTGCACTTGGGACGGGATACTCACCAGAAGGTGGGGTAGCCCACTAATGTTATTTGATTTGGAATAAAAGCATGAAAATGATGGCAAGGGCCTAAAATTGGAGATGTAAAGGATGACTGCACAGTATTCCATTTCTCAATTTCATCCTTCAGAGCCACAAAATGGGGGTGATACAGTGACTGGATGAGATTTACAGTAACAGCTGTGGTCTTCCCACACGAGGGAGGCCCTTCTAATGGACTGAGGTCTGTTTGCAACAGACGGGGAGGAACAAAACAAGGTTCCCTATTAAGAGTGTGGAGTCAGACTTCTGATCAAGAAAATCATTATGGGAGTTGGGTTCCTTTAAGACAGCCCCTGCCCTCTTTTGTCATCCAAACCCAGGGCTGTTTTTAAAGGCGCAGTTGTTTAAATAGAGGCAGGAGGACGCAAATGGCGTCAAGTTTGCTCCCCCCTCGGAAGCCCACTCACCAGCAACGGTAAAGAACGCAGAGGAAACGGTGCCAGTGGCATATGGCTTTCTACTGTGCTAAACATTCATACAAAAGACAGGTTCATCAGTCATTGGAATATCTGGATAAAAAATTAGCTCCTGATGGATGGTATTTTGAGCTTACCTGCTGCTAGTACATTACCAGAGAAACACAGGTTTTGAAACCCACAAGACATTA